GAATGGACAGGAAGCTGGGTGAGAAAGCCATGTCTGTGGAGACGGAGTTTGACAGATCTCAAAGGGATGGGACTGAGACTAGAAGGAAAGGAATGTTGAGGTGTGGCTAGCTGCGGTGTTAAAAGGAACAGGGCATAGCCAACATAGCTAGGAAGGAACCGCTGGAGATAAAGTTGGAGGGGGCTGAGACCTGAAACCATCTGTGCCTTACAGACAGGAGTTTGCATTTTCTTCCAAATGCTAGGGAAAGTGAGATTTTGTCCTGGAGAGTGACAGGGTATGATTTACCAAGGAAATGGCACCAGACACGCTCCTTTTCCAAGGACAACTGTCCCTGCTTAGAAGGCAATTTTACAATGGTGACTGATTCTAAGGTCTTTTTGAGAGGCTTGCCTTCAAGGAGCCCAGCAGGATACCCGGAAGGCAGCGGGTCTGTTATTTTCAGTCGCCTTTTATTATAACCAAGGAGCCTCTTTGTAGAACTGGATCGTCTCCCTGTTAGTTAGTTCCATTAGCTGTGGTGCTGATTTTGATTGTTAGCCTGACTGGATCATTCTTAACCCTAGATGAATAGTAAAGCTAACAGTGTTTCTGATGGTGCCTCCAGAGACAAATGGATTGCTCTCTCAATAGGTTCATTATGGTATGAGAGCATTATTTGGTGGTAGGTGAGGCCTGCTTACAAGAAGTAGGTCATTGGTTGTGTCTTTAGGTGATGTAACTTGCTCTGGCTCCTTCATCACTTTTCTTCATAGAAGGATGGTGGGAACTCTGCTACCAGGCGCTCTGGCCATGATGGACGGACACGTTTGAAATCATCTTCCTTCCCCCTTTCGTGTACTCCCAGACAAAAGTAACTAATCTGACCATTGCACATTAATAACTGGAATACTTCGGTACTATCATACTGTCCCATATACCGTCCTTCTGACCAAGAAATTCCCTGCTAGTGAAAGCAGCAAGACAGTATCGTTTCTGCTCTTGTAATGTGCCATCATCTGCTGTGCTCAGGAGACTGGTGTGAAGTGGCGATTTGTAGCCCATTTTAAACCAAGTACCTTCATTAACACCGATACTGACACCTAAAGAGGAGAGTTACAATTATCTTAACAGTGTGCTCAACCCTCCTTACGGGGCAACCCTTCAATACAGTTCATGCTGTGGTTACCCTAACCATAAAACTACTTCGTAACTATAATTTTGTTGTTAGGCATCATAATGTAAATATGTTTGGAAATAGAGGTTTGGCAAAGGGGTTGGGACCCACAGGTTGAGAACCATTGCTGTAAGCATAGCTCTCACTGAATCAAGGACTGATGGAAAGTGAGTGACACCCTATTTATTCTAGACTGGAAAAGCTAGCAAGCTCATTGTTTAGATGCCTGTAACTGTAAATGTAACATACAGACCATGATGGTTAATAGTGACTGTCCTCTTGGTAGAGTGGAGAATCATCTACGAGACAGACCTCTGACCTTGCCTGTGAGGGAGTTTCTAGATTGGGTTGACTGAGGTTAAATGACACTAAACATTGTTGTGGAATTGTTGGAGGAATTAGGTTCTTGGTTCCCAGCCACCGTGCTAGTTTAGACCCGAAATAATCACACAGAAACTGTATTAATTAAGTCACTGCTTGGCCCATTAGCTCTAACTTCTTATTAACTAACTCCTACTTCTTAATTTAACTATTTCTAGTAATCTTTGCTTCACCACAAGGTCGTGACCTACCAGCAAAGTTTCAGTACATCTGTCTCCGGTGGCTCCATGACTTCCCTCACTCTGCTTTCCTTCTCCCAGCATTCAATCCAGTTTTCTCCACCTACCTAAGTTCTACCCTATCAAAAGGCCAAGGCAATTCCTTTATTCATTAACCAATAAAAGCAACACATAGAAGGACCTCCCACACCATGGAATATTTGAGTAAACTGTGATATCTTGTTTGTAATCTCACAGAGAAACTTGCTGAAGATCAGAGTTCAGAGCTAAGTCACTAGCTAGCCATAGGAGGCCAGCAGTGGTGGCACACACCTTTCATCTCGGCACTCAGGAGGCAGAGGCAGACAGATCTCTGAGTTGAAGGCCACCCTGAGCTACACAAAGTTGATCCAGTCTAAAAGAGAAACATCTGGGCAGTGGCGGCTCGCACCTTTAATCCCAGTACTAGGGAGATGGAGACAGAAAGGTATATAGTGGGGCAGAGAGAGGAATATAAGGTGGGAGGAGACGAGCTCAGTTTCAGTTAGGTTTGGTGGAGACAGATGCAGTCTGAGGAGCAGTCTGACACAGCAGTCTAAGGAAGCTGTCAGTTTGAAGACACAGTCTGAGGAGGCAGTCTGAGAACAGGATTGCCCTAGAGGTAAGAAATCTAGTGGCTGACCGCTATGCTCCTCTGATCCTTCAGCTTCCACCCCTGATAGCTGTTTCTGGGTTTTCATTATTAAGAACAGTTAGAATTCATGCTACAATTTTACCTTACCTGCCTAAGAAAACTGATTGGTTCAATAAAGAGCTGAATGGCCAATAACTAGGCAGGAAAGGTTAGGTGGGACTTCCAGGCAGAGAGAAAGGAACTCTGTGAAGAAGAGAGGAGGGAGACACCAGAGAGCCATGGAGGGAGTCAGACATACAGGATGGAAGAGAGGTAAAAAGCTATGTGGCAGAATGTAGATTACTAGGAAAAGGTTAATTGTAAGTTATTAGAGATAGTTGGAAACAAGCCTAAGTTAAAGTCCAAGCTTTCATAATGTCTCCATGACATTTGGGGGCTGGCAGTCCCAAAACAAAGTCAAATGAGAAAGCTTGCTACAAAATGTGGGCAACACCATTCTACATGCTGGGTACTGGACTGAATGAAAGGGAGAGAGCTGGCTGACTGCTGGCGTCCATCTCTCTCTGCTTCCCAACTTTGGATTTCATGTGACTAGCTGCCTCACGCTCCTGTCATTATTTCGTGCCCTCATCAGAGGATTTGCCCTCAAACAGCGAGTCCAAATAACCCCTCTTCCCTTGTTTTTGTCAGATGCTTTGTTACAGCCTTGAGAAGAGTAATTAGTACATAGACTAAAATCACTACAAGCCGTTCCAGTCAGCAATGAAATAAGTACGGAAATATAAAGGGATGTGCCAAATTTTTAATAATTTCATATCACAATTTTGTATGTATAAAAGCAGTTATAGACAGTGTTTTAGTAAGTAAAAGAAAAACTAAAAAAAAACGTATTCTTTACTACAGACATCTTAAGATGACTGTCATCCTCAGTAAGTCTTACTGTAAGGAACTTAGATCTTAAAACGAGGCTACTGGAATGTGCAGGCTCTTCTCGCCTCCTGTAATCCTGCAAGAGACAGGCAATAGGATGGAAATTATGTCATATCTTTTGGCACAGTTCTTTTTGCCAGTGGACTAGTTAATCTGTTCTGGTGACATCAAGTATCTACTGTGCCAATTAGAGCAAGTAGGCTTTTTGTCTCCCATCAAGTTAGTGTAAACTATGATTGCAGAGACCAGGCAGTAGTTGGGTCAGAGATCCTTCATTCCTCAGGAGTCCACCTCAAAGTGTTCTATGCTCCTCACCATAAACACAGTCCCTTCTATTACACCAGTTGAGTGGTAACCAGCTTGTAGGCTGGAGTACGATGCTATACCCAAGCTTCATAACACCAGCATGTCCCCTCTCCTACCTCCCAGAGAGTCCACGGCAAAAGCCACTGAACTAAGCTCCCTGGAAACTGGCTAGTTTCCAAGAGACAGAAACGAGAGGGAGAAGATTCAGGCTCAAAATTCATGACTCTGAGATTTCTGGTAACAAGCTGATAGAGTTCCTCAAATGTCATTAGCTGACAGTCATGGGAAGTTCTAAGGCATTTCTAGAAAGTTCTCAGTGGTGCAAAGGTTGTTGAAGGTGGTCTGCTTCCCAAGGGCAATGTCTCCAGGCTTCAGACCTGTCAAGTAGAAGGATGAGTGATGTTACATTCTTACTGGGTTTTTGAGGCAGAATCAAGCTTGGAACTCTGACTGGGTGACTGGAGATCTTGTCCTGCTATAGACGTGCAGCCCTTACTTCCTTTCCTCTTGTTGGGGAAAAGCTTACAATGGTCATCCCGTCACTTGCTGCACTTGCTGCTCCTCCTCGTTGTTTCCATCTTCTTTAGCACACACACAGTCGTATAGTGACGATGAATCCATCACTCATCATTCGGCCACAACTGGAGCCGATCAAAATGGACTGTGTTCAGAGATTTCTGAATTTGAGCTTAAATTCGGTAGCTGGATGAGTTTTCTTCTACTGAGGATGAGGGGCATGTTTGTGGTGGCACACAGGAGAGCTGAGTGACACTGAGCAAAACTGTCGGTGAGTGAGTGTGCGCATGAGCCAGCGTGCTTACACACACCCCTTACGTCACAGCACACAGTGCGAGGAACCTTTCGCGAGTCAGTTCTTTCCTTCCATGTAGATCCCTGGGATTGAATTTAGGCTGTCAGGTCTGGAAGCAGTGCCTTTACCCATTTGAGTAGCCCAGGAAAACATTTTCCTTGGAACCTTTTTTAGTTTTCTTCTTTTGGGGAGAGAGCTCCTGTCTCTTTTGAGGAAGTCCTTCTCACTTCTGGCCCCCAGTCTATGAACACTCAAACAACACTTCCCTAATTATTAGAGAAGTGGGTTTCTCACCCGATCTGGTCAACTAGATAGGAACTTTGTGCCATAAATTGATTTTTTGCCTCTCAATTCTAAATTCATTTTTATTCCCACTTGGTAAAGAGGAATCTAGAGCAGTGGTTCTCAGCCTTCCCAATGCTGTGACCCTTTACTACAGTTCCTCATCTTGTGGTGACCCCACCAACCACAAAATTATTTTGCTGCCACTTCATAACTGAAATTTTGCTACTGATATAAATCATAATGTAAATATCTGATAAGCAGGATAGCTGATATTCCACACCAAAGGGGTCACAACCTACAGGTGAGAACTACTGATCTAGATCCTTCGAGTCCCTTTTCGTACTAGCCACCACAAGGCTGGATTTCTGTTGGTTGAGAGTGCTGAAGATAATAAAGGTTTCTTCTTACAGTATGTCCCCGAATAGAATCCTGTAGTGGAGAAAGAAGACCTAGTTCGAATTCACCGGCGGTATCCCAGGTGACATTCCCAGCCCTCTCTAGGGGTCTGATGGACAGTGGTGAAGTCTCCAGGTCAAGAAATTGAAACAGTATTTGTTTGGTGCAGTATGCCAAAAGTGAAAGATAAAGCTGGCATAATGACACGCATCTGTCATCTTCACAGAGCCTAAAGCAGGAGAACCTCGAGTTGAGGAGTCAGGGCCACTCTGGGTAACATAGCAAGAGCTTGTCTAGGAAAAACAAATACAAACACAAACATGACTGACAGATAACTGGAATGAGCTAAAGCCAGCTGCTAATGGTGTACCTAGAAGGTCAGCAGTTTGGAAGGAATGAGACGGGACTGGGAAACAGATGTCAGGGAAGTCCGTGAAAGAGTTATACGGGGGTTTTCTGAATGGGTACAAACTGTAAAACTATTTGTCTTCCAGATACCCACCGCAGAGAAGACTGCTAATCAGGCAGAGATACGGGGTCACCCTAGCCAGATGACCGTCAGTGTCTTTGTCCAGCCATCTTACTGCTGAACGAAGGGACCACTAAGCAGAATGGGCAGAGTAGTCTGGAAGGAGGCTATACATGTGCTCAGCAACATGAACTTTCCCTTAGCAGGGGTCACCTTGGCAACACTACTGCCAAGTGCTTAATCTGTCAAGAGCAGGGGACAGCATTGAGTCTCTAATATGGCACCATTCCCAGGGCCGATGAGCTAGCCATCTGGTGGCAGGTTGATTATACTGGATCTCTTCCATCATGGAAGGAACAAAGATTCGCCCTGATTGGAATGATCACATATTCTGGAAACGGTTTTGCTTTTACTGCTCATAATCTTTCTGCCAGCTCCACTATCTGTGAGCTCACAAGCTGCCTTAACTAGCAGCAGTGTGTTCCCGTCCACATTACCTCTGACCAGACCACTCATTTCAGAGCAAGGGAAATAATTGGGTTGGCCACACACACCACTGGGAAGCAGCTGGCTTAAGTGAATGGTGAAATTACTTATGGAAAACTGAATTATGATCCTAGCTGGAGATAGTATTTGGGAAAAATGGGATTCTGGTTTCTGGTCACATCACACCATCTTGCCCATAAAAAGCAATGCTTGCATCAAGACGTGGGCCTGACAGTGGCTTATCTACAGTGCTATCTAATAAGCTCCTCATTTTCTTCTTTGCCTGGGAACTCTGGCTGCTGCAGGTTCAAAAAACAGGCCCGGGGGAGAATGCTTTCTATCAGTTGATGCAACACCGATTACACGAAGGCAGGAGACTGCCGCCCTGCTATTTTGGGTTCTTTACACAATGAACGCAAAAGGCTAAACAGGAATTATTCTACTTACTACACAGCGTAACTGATGCCAATGTTTTAAGAGGAAATTTGCTTGTTTCTATGTGGTGGAGGCCAGAGGACAGACTGGACCAAGGGCCACCAATATTAGAGTCAGGGAAAATGGCAACAACCTCAAATAAAGCACAAGGTATCTGAGGGCCTGGGCCTTTCCAAATAATTTGGGTTACTTCATAGACAAAGGATTTTAGCAGCCGAAGTTCTGGCTGAGGGCATTGGAAATACAGAATGATAAGATGAAAGGGGATGGTATCAATTACAGGCTCACCAGACAAGAACTGTAGAAACAAAGTCCACGGTGTCCTTGTAAATTTGCTATTGCTCCATGTACCTGTTCCCATATACCAGCTGCGGGCTCTGTCTTACCACTCTGTGTTCAAGTTGCTCCTTGGGCTGTTTCCCAAGGTGGTTATGACAAAGTGCCACCAGCTTAGTGACATGGAGAATGTGTTCTCTAATATTCTGGAAGCCAGGAATCTGGAATCGAAGTGTCAGCAGGATTAGTTCCTTTCATATGGCGTGGGAGAGAATATGTTACATGCTTTTCTTCTCCATTCTGTTGGCTGCCTGGCAGTGCTTGGCATTCTTTGGCTTGTGTTATATCACTCTTGTCTCTTCCATCTCTGCATCTTTTTCCATCATCCCCTCCTCCCAGAATTTTTTTCTTACAGAAACACGCCCTTGGCTTAAGGACCCACCCTGTACTTCAGGGTGATCGCACTTCAAGATTTCAGTCCAGTTCCAAAGTTCCTTGTAGGGGAAGCCCAGCCAATCACCTTGTTTGTAGGGCGTGATCCCTTTAGACTAATATTTACTTATAAAATCTTGCTGGTGTGCTTCCCGCTTCCTCTTTGTGTTTCCTGTGCTTCGCGGGAGCTCTGGCTTTGTAAGTCCCCCTCTTCTTACCCTTATTAAAGCTGAATATTTTATAATAAAGCTAGTCTGGTTATTTCTATCGACCACCCGCCAACAGTTCCTGTTTCCAAGTCAGCTTCCAGCCACAGGTTCAGGGGTTAGGGTTTCACTATATTTGTTAACGGCTTTATTTGTTTATTGAGAAGTTTTGACATTTGATTTAATTAACCAACTGCAAGTGTGCACATGACTGGATGTGAGTTTGTTCAGAAATGAATGCAAGCATTTGCTCTTTTGTTCGTTTTTTTTTTTTCTGGAACAGAGTCTTGTGTAGCCCAGGTTTACCTCAAATTTACTATGTAACCAAGGATAACCCAGGATTCCTAACCCTTCTACTTCTCTGCCTTCCAGTGCTGCTGGATTATACTTATGAACTATCATACCTGATTTGTAATCCTTATGTTTTATTGATTTTGTTAATTTAATTGAATTTCAGAAGGACAATGAAGTAAATACACGTTGCTAAACTAAAAAGTACAGTTGAACGTCTTTATACATTAAATGAATAGCCGAAGTTAAATTCTGATATTCCTTCCTTCCTTCCTTCCTTCCTTCCTTCTTCCCTTTTCCTTTGTTTGAGACAGGGTCTCTGGCTGTCCTGGAACTTGCTCTGTAGACTAGGCTGGCCTTGAACACACAGAGATCCACCTGTCTCTGCCTCCCAGATGCTGGGATTAAATGCATGCACTACTGTTCTTAGCTCCAAGATTACTTTAAAATACATAGAAAACTATTTTGAAGATGCATTTTTTTCCCTCTAGTGGTGAGGAAATTGCCCACTCTATTTCTAAACTAGAAACTTAGTTATATATCCTGAGCAATACAATTGTGTTGGAGGAAATGGAGGTTGATAGAAGAGTCCTTAGGCCTTGTGCTTTGTGGGGAGGGTTAATTTCTTGTCTTGTTAAATAAGCAAACTCAAGCATTACTGCCCACAGGGGAATAAAACAGTGCATGAAATCCCTTCAGTAGAAGGAAGAAAAAGACAAATGAGTGATATGAGTAAGGAAATGTACCGGAGACAAGAGCAGATAAAATAGACAGAATAGGACGAACAGAAATAAGTTATAAATAAATAGAAAGTAGAAATAACGTGTAAATTCCTGCAATCATAATGTGAGTCAATGGAGTAAATAGTCCTGTACCACAGAAAATATGATTGTAATGGATTTAAATAATCCAACTATATTCTGTTGTGTGTTTACGTGAGTACTACTTGCACTCGTGTGATTGTGTGCATACATTTGAGAGTACTTGTGCCATGGTGTGTATGTGTGTGTGCAGATATACATTTAAGAGTACTTACTTATGGAGTGTTATGTGTGTGTGCAGATATACATTTAAGAGTACTTACTTATGGAGTGTTATGTGTGTGTGCAGATATACATTTAAGAGTACTTACTTATGGAGTGTTATGTGTGTGTGCAGATATACATTTAAGAGTACTTACTTATGGAGTGTTATGTGTATGTGCAGATATACATTTAAGAGTACTTACTTATGGAGTGTTATGTGTGTGTGCAGATAAACATTTAAGAGTACTTGGGCAAGGTGTGAGTGTGGAAGTCAGAGGACAACTTGAAGGAACTGGTTTTCTTTCTTGATAAAATGGTTTCTGGAGATCATACTCTAGTGGCCAAGTTTGGTGGCAAGAGTCTTTACCTGCCAAGCCAGCTCATGAGTTGAAAGATTATTCTGTGGATTAGATAAATGAGTAAACAAAAAAGAATTTTATCACCTTCAAATTTGGTATATTCAAGAACAGAAATATGTAGGGCAGTGGGGATAATTTAATCAATAAAGCTCTTGTCACAAAAGCATAGGTTCCTAAGTTAGTTTCTCCTCCAACATGTTAAAAAGCCAGACATAGTGACCCACACCTGTAATATCTGGGCTGGGTCTGTAGAAAAATGTATGTCCAAGGGTGGTTTTGGGGTTAGTCAACCAGGCCTGTAAAACTGCAGGTCGCGAAAGACCTTGTCTCACAGCACAAGGTAGGTAGTGCCTGAAGAACCATGACATAGAGGTTGTCCTCTGGCTACTACTACTACTACTACTACTACTACTACTACTACTACACACACACACACACACACACACACACACACACGAACAAACAAATATACATTCGGCAGCACACACATATGCATACAGACACACTACAAAAGAATAGAAAGACGGGGAAAATTGAAAAAGAAGTCAGGTATAGTGATATACCTGTAGTCCAGCTACTTGAGAGGCTGAGACATGAAATATTTGGGGAGGTGGAAATCCAGGAAAATTCTAGCACAAAATCTACTAGCCAGGGTCCGGAGAGATGACTCAATGGTTAAGGACACTTGTTACCCTTCTAGAGGATGGGTGTGGTTCCAGCACCCACATGGTAACTCACAAGTATCTGTAACTAGGGGATCCAGTGCTGTCTTCTGGTCTCTGAAGGCACTACACATATGTGGTTCACAGCCATGTTTGCAGACAGAGCACCGATGCACATAAAATTAAAAATAAATTAGTAACCTGATATGGCATGTCCTTTTGTTTATATGTTGCTTATTGGTTGATGGATAAAGCTGTTTCTGCCAATGGCTTAGCAGAGTAAAGTCAGGCAGGAAATCTGAACAGAGATAGAGAGAGAGAGAGACAGGAGACACCGTGTAGCCACTGAGGGAGAAAGATGCCAGAACATTACCAGTAAGCCGCAGCCTCGCGGTGATACACAGATTAATAGAAATGGGTTAATTTAAGATGTAAGAGCTAGATAGAAATAGTCCTGAGCCATTGGCCAAACAGTGTGGTAATTAATACAGTTTCTGTGCGATTATTCAGGTCTGGGCAGCCAGGAAACAGAAGTGCAGTCTCCATTCACAGTAACTATCTTAACTTCTCACAAAATGAAAACAAATATAAATACAATGGAAAGTCAATATACATAAAATGAGAAATTTACAAAGGAACATCAGAGTGGCTAGCTAGTAGACGTTTCTGAATAAAATCCAGTTAACTTGTTTTTTTTATTTTAAAAAACAAGGCTTGAAATTTGCTGAATCTATCCTATTTAAGAAGTGAGGGAAAGAAAGACAAAGAAACTCTCTTAGAAAGTAGAAAAATATGGACCAAAGTTCAAGACACAGTGAACAGAAAGAAGATTCTGTTAATTTTTTTTTTTTGATGAAAAGCAATAAAATAGGCAATGTCTGAAAGAGGCTGACCAAGAACAACAAGAGATAAAGCCACAGTAAAACCAATTAAGGAAGAAAAAGGAGGCTTGGCAAATGTCAGATATGGCGAAGACCAAACAGATAAAAGGAACACCACGAACAACTTCATGCCCATAAATGTGAACATTTTGATGAAATAATAAAAAATAAGATAGCAAAATGACTCGGGAAGGAAGGACGGGATGTCTAGACTCTTGTAACTCACCAAGCATTCTGTTGAAGGCATCCGAAATGCTGAGGGTGGGCTGTAGAAGCTTTTCTTAAAAACACATACTAAGGAGAGAATAGGAAGCTGTGAGACTCAAGACCAGAGAAGCAGGAAGAGGAGCGAACAGTGCTCGAAAGCTTGCATGCTCTGTCGATTTTGAACTTTCATTTTCATTTCCTCTTTCAATGCTGTTGGCCGAGGTTACACAAAGCAGGAAGCTGAACCGAAGGGCTGCCTGGCACTAGCTAGGACCTGGAAGGGATTGTATCCTGGGGTAAAAATGAACAGAAAGTGAACAAGCTTCTGATGCCTTCTGGAGGGCAGGGGATTTCTTTCAACTTTGAGTAAGGTGGTCTCAGGTCTCTCTGTGGGAAGGTGGAGTCCTATTAGGCTTCAGATGTCACCGATGAAGACATTTCCAAGCACTACTATTGATACTTAATCAGTCAGATTTCAATAGACAATTGGAGATACACAGCAGTGTGAGGAAGAACCAATAGAAATGCCAAGGAAGGACAAGGGAGATGGCTCAGTGAGTTAAGTGCTAGCTTCCCAAGCAGGAAGACCTGTGTTTGGATCTGCAGCACCTGCCTTAAAAAAACTGAGTGTGAAGGACATACCTACAAATCCAGGTCTTAGAGGGTTGAGAGAGTTGGAGCCCAGAGTCTTGCTGGCCTAACAGAGAACAGCAAGTTCCAGCTTCAGCAAGTCTGTCTCACAAAAAGAACAATATTGAGAACAATAGAGAAGACAGCCTACGCCACCTCTGGCCTCCGTGTGCACTTGCAAGGTTGAGTCCATTTGTACACACACACACATGCATAGACAAGAACACCTCCCCCGTGCGTGTGCGTGCACACACATACGCATACGCAGCACACACAATGTACCAATCAACAGACAGCAGAAATGTTTAATGGACAGGTGGAAGAAAACTATGCACAGAAGCTATAAAAGTATATGGATTTAAGGCTGCAGTTAAAAGTGAAATATTAAATATGTTTAAGCAGAACAGGATGAGACAAAATCCAACTATCTGCAGCTTACAAGACATATCTAAACATGAAGACAGGAAGATTGAAAGCAGAAGTAGGAAACAATAGGGCGCTCAGAATTAACCAAAGCCAAATGAATGTGGTTAGTTAAGTGAGAGAGCTCTTAAAAGCAAAGAGTGCCTAAGCATCACCTGAACAACGACAGTATCAATAGACATGCCAACACAGAAGGGGCAATTCTCACGGGATCCTCACCTAGACAGAACTACAGGCAACTAATGAGTGCGGAGAGAGGGAGGATTAGCCTCTTCCAAGGGATAGCCCCCAATCAGCTATCTAATACAAAGTGGCCAGCCCTAAAATCATATATACTCAAGTCACACTAAAAATACTTGGAAGCTTGCATTTATATATTTATGTGTGTGGATATATTTATATATTTATTTTAATTTAAACATTTTTAATGAACAAAAATAACTGTTACGTTTATAACTATCTATTTACCTTAGAGTAACTGAATACAAGATAAGAGAATGTGCAAATGATTATTATAAAGATAATTCAGTATTTAAAAATAAAAATGCCATAAACATTCCTGTATGCCAATTAACTTGAAAACAGTAGATAAGGACCTAAGCAATCATTTCCTCATAATTAAGTTAATAAATCAATGTTCAGAACTTTTTCTGCAAATAAAATTCCAGGTTCAGCCAAAGAAAAACATATAGTCATCCTGACCTTCATCAGGCGATGAAAGAAGACAAAGACAGAGTCCCACATTGGAACACCGGACTGAAATCTCAAGGTCCAAATCAGGAGCAGAAGGAGAGAGAGCACGAGCAAGGAACTCAGGACAGCGAGGGGTGCACCCACACACTGAGACAATGGGGATGTTCTATCGGGAACTCACCAAGGCCAGCTGGACTGGGTTTGAAAAAGCCTGGGATAAAACCGGACTTGCTGAACATAGCGGAAAATGAGGACTGCTGAGAAGTCAAGAACAATGGCACTGGGTTTTAATTTACTGCATGTACTGGCTTTGTGGGAGCCTAGGCTGTTTGGATGTTCACCTTACTAGACCTGGAAGGAGGTGGGAAGTCCTTGGACTCCCCACAAAGCAGGGAACCCTGACTGCTCTTTGGGCTGACAAGAGAGGGGGGGTTGATTGGGGGAGGGGGAGGTAAATGGGAGGTGGTGGTGGGCAGGAGACAGAAATCCTTAATAAATAAATAAATAATTAAAAACAAAGAAAAGAAAATTCCAGGTTCAGATGACACTGGTGAGCAGTTTTGTGAATTCATTTTATGAATCTAGAACGATTTGCCGCTAACATGAAAATTACCATGAGTTGTAATCAATATGCAAAATTCTTGAGATAAATAGAAAAGTTACGATTTTCTTACGAACTGCTCCTAAAATCAACTGGTAGTCAGAGATAAAAGCCAAACAAACAAGCAAATAAACAATCGAACCCACCAAAACCCAAACAACAACAAAAGCCAAGCAGAATTTTAATCTATACCTTGTGTTATATAAAACTAATTCAGAATAGATTCTAAAAACTTTTAGGAGAAAACTTTTATGATGTCAAATTTGGCAAATCTCTCTTATATCAAAAGAGTATTTATTTTTTAGACTAAAGCATGGATTTCATAAAGGTTAAGCATGCCTGCTGTTTGAAAAAAACACTGAGAAAATGAGAAGGTAAGCCATAGACTTACAGAAAATATTTGCAATTCCTATATCTGATGGAGAGTTCCGATGGCTAAATATAAAGAGGCATCAATCAATCAGTGCAGGAAAGTTGTGGCCGACGGTTTACGAAAGACATGCAAAAGGCCAGACACTGAGGAGGTAAGCTGTCACTAGTGAGTAAAGAGGCACAAATACGATGACAAGGAGAGCTGCAGCACCTTCCAAGTGTTAGCATGGATGGGAAAAGCTGCAGAAGGAAGGTAACGTGTTAGCGTGGATGGGAAAGGTTGCTGAGGGCAGGTAAAGGACTGGGAAGTGGTTGACTGTCCTGTAGAACATTAAATCTGACTGTGTTGTTCGAAGTCTTAAAAATGAGAGCAGACTTCAGGCATCATGCTCACCAGTGTTCCTGGCAGTTTATTTTGTAACAGCTCAAACTTAAGAAACAGTACAAATGGCTACCACCAGGAGAGTGTGTAGGAAATCTCCCTGCCGCCCTGAAATGGACTTCTTTTCAGAAGCTGAAAGGATAGACTGTCGATAAAGCAACGACAGTAGTGGATCTCAAGATAATCGTGGTTATGATAAACGAGGGGATCAGGTGAAACTCGACACATAGTACACATAAGGATTTATATAAAGTTTCAAGAAATTCAAATAATTTATGATGGCCAAAAATAAATAAGGAATTACTTGGGGATGACAGCAATGACAAGAAAATATTATAAAGGGGCATAAGAAGATGTTTTGGAGTGATGAGTATGTTTGATATTCTGATTGTAATGAAAGTTCATGAGGACACAAAAACATCAAAATTCATTAAAGAAGCTTAAAGCTAAATTTTGGTTTTTCTTCCATTCAGCACTCCAGGAGAGTACTTAGCAGCCACATAGAATGAAAACCAGTCAAAGATACAAAGACTTAAAAATACTATTGTCAGAAGACATGGTCATGTATATAGAATATTCAAAAAAAATACCTTTGTTTAAATGTATTAGCTAGCCACCATGAAATAAAAACACCATTTGAAGGAGAAAGATCCATTAGGGGAGGCTCAATGAGCATCAGATCATTGGGCAGGGTTCTTAGTGTGGACCTCTTTTTTTTTTTTTAAGTGACTTTTAAAGAAACTCTCAGGAAATTAGGGAATCCGGAAGCTGTCATTATCCTTCAAGAATATCAGACTGTTAGTTGTACAGTGTGGTACCACACACAAGTAATCTTGGCATTGAGAACCTTGAGACAGAATTGAGAGGCCAAGGCAAGTATGAACAACATAGTAAGACCCACCTCAACATATACATGAATAAATGAACAAACAAATAAATAATAAATAAAATTCCACCACTTTAGCCCATGGGGGTTGCTGTAACAAAATGCTATATCATACTTGTAAATAATAAAAACGTGTGTCTCATAATTCTAGTGACTGAGAAGTCCAAAATTAAGGCTCTGGCAGCATTGGTGCCTAGTAAGGGCTTACTGAGCAGTTCACATTTGCTCCTCTCATTTGCTCTCCATGGTAAGGAGCCACGCAGGTCTCTTAGAACTATTAACTGTGTGTGTGTGCATGTGTGTATATATGCATGTGTGTGAGTGTGTGCATGCGTATGCATGCATGTGGGTGTGTAATTGTGCTCATTCATGCATGTACATGTGGAGGTCAGAGGTCATCTTTGAGTGGGTCTCTTCCCCTGCTGCCCTCCACCTGACATTTGGCTCCCGATCCAGTTTCTCTAGTCCATCTGTCTCATCATGCAGTGTTGTAAGGAGCCCTGACCACGTGCCCAGCCCCATTCTCTAGGAGTGTTTGACAAGTTCCCCTAGTGTCATTGGGATCCGAACCGAAACTAGATTAAATCTATACATCAGTTCAGGTGGTGGATTAACACGACCTCTTTTAGGTAATTGAGTTTGCCTATCTGGTGAAGCATTGTCTCTCTGAATTTATATACATCTTCTCTTGCATTTTTCTTTTTTGAGATAGAGTCTCTTACTGAACCTGGAGTTCCCCACTTAGGCTGGGCAGTCTGGTTGTCATGCCAGCCAGCGAGCTCTCTGGATGAGATTGTTTCCACACCCCCAGTGCTGGTGTGACAAGTGACTGCTGTCACACCAGCGATTTTATATGGTCCTAGGCATCTACACTTGTACAGTGAGCATCTTCACCTCTGAGCCATCTCCCAGGCCCTGAGAACTCTGAGGACATTAGTTCTACTCATTTCCCCAAATTCCACCTCACATCAGCACCATGTGCTGGTTAGATTTCAGCATGTGTTTCTGGGTGCTGGTGGGGATGGGATCTGAGGGCCACACAGAAACACTCAGATTACACTCTTCAACAAAGGTGTAGTTTGGGACTCTGAAGCATTCGTATGTCTATAACAGCTTCTCAGAGCCTGTGGAGTGTAGCTGGAC